TAACAGGAGGAATCTAGTGTGGGTGTTAAATCATAAAATAACCAAGCTTATAATTTAAACATGGTTCCGTATAATATAAAACATAGTTGACTAATTTTATCCACCCTATATAAGGTCTGCTGTTATTTCACCAAATCCAGAGATTATGGAGATTGGTTTGCTTCTGGGGCTTATCGTATGAACATAATAATCTGAACAAGTCTAATCTGTAAAACCGTGGTAATAAGGGATGGAGGGGGGAAATGTTTAATTTGATAATATCCCTTAAGTATTAAGAATAAACGTCAAAACGGCTAAACCTATCAGGCCCATTTTTTTTGACCCAAAAATTTGCCTTGAAAAAAATTCGATTTTTATAATGGAAAGAAAATTCACGAAAAAATGTTTTCAAATCCGCGAACTTTTTTTATTGTTTTATAATGTATACAAAAAGAAAATAGAAGATGGTCGCGAAGCGCCACGAAAGCCTAGTACGATACATGTGTATTTTCTTGTCAGTTCTATGTAATCTGTAACTCATACATCATATTATTATCAAACATCAAAATATTTAAACCGTGACAACAAGGAAGGGAGGAAGGAGAGTGTTTCGGTCAATCTTTACCTAATTTGTCTAGTTAATAACTTTATCTTCAGGCACTAAGACTATGTAAAATGTAAGACTATTTAAATTTTAGGGATTATGGAAACAATTAAAAATAAACTCCTTTTCAAGAGCTTCAAATATTACGTAATCATCAGCTAAAATCTGCAGCTGATTGGAAGGGGGGGGGGGNGGGTGTAAACAAAAAACTGACCTGGCTTTTATTCTCTTTATCTTCATCACTTCGTCCTTTTATGTATTTTCTTTCTTTCCTTTCTTCACCATCTTTCTCTATCTTCTCCTTGTCCTCCTTATTCTCCTTCTTGTCCTCATCCTTGTCCTCTAGTCTCTTCTTCTCTCTGTCCTTCTTCTCCTCTCCCCCTTCCACGAAGATGTTGATTGTCAAGGACTTCAGGTTTTGTCTAAAATATAATTTTTAGAATTAAAAAAATTATATAATGTTTAGAATAAAGAAAATGATATATTTTTTAAAGAAAATCGGTATTATTAAGTTAAAAGGCACTTTTCAAACATTTTAAAGTTCATATTTAGCGAAACCCCTTTAAGAAATACAATTTCCGTCAGATAGTGGCCCGGAGTGTGTTGTAAAAATAATTTATCAAAATTTACGTTTTCCTCACAAAGTAAAGCCATAAAATTGATTTAAAGAGCTCCAAATCTGGAATTTTTCATCGCATGGCGTAAAATATTCAGAAAAAAATTCCTCGTAAGAAAACTTAAATAACCTGTTTACAAAATGAATACTAATTAACTGTTTACGACCAAAGGCGAGAATTGTAAGAAGAAGACGGGGGGGGGGGGGGAATTTTACATTAAAGATTTTAATAATTTAAACATTAAATTGATTTAATTAACTAAAAACACTTTTGAATTTTTTACATATTATCATTAAAAAAAGATCTTCATTCTCTCCAAAAGTTTTTAGTTCTTTTTTATTTTTCTTTGTATTTTCATTTTCAATTTATAAAATTGGAACAATTAAGATTAGTTAAATTAAATTCCGCTAATACATCAACAATAATAAAAATGGAAAATAATTTGAATTTTATAAAAGTCCTTTAATTTCTAGACGGTTTGACAGATTGTTGAGATAATTGAATAACTAGAAACCCGGGAAGAAAGCTTTTTTTCTGTTTATTTTTATATTTCCCAAAAGTTGTCGGAAAAACTTTTCAGGAACGTTGTTTTTTACATTCCCACCTTTTTAAAAAATGTTAAAATCGTTCTAATTTCTGCTTTGACACAAATTTGATTTTGGAACGACCTAGTTTAATTAATTTAATTTTGGAACGACCTAGTTTAATTAATTTGATTTTAGAACGACCTAGTTTAATTAATTTGATTTTGGAAGGACCTAGTTTAATTAATTTGATTTTGGAACGACCTTTCATGTTTGATAATCGGTTGGATATCCTGTGACACCCTCCCCCCCCCCTAACCCTCAAAAAAGGTTAGGTAAAAATGTTTTAAACATAATGTGAGTAATAAACTAGCAGAGGGAGACTTGGTCACATTTCCCCGACATTATTAATGGAACGACATTGTGACCTCGTAGCTCCTCTAGCTTTGATTTTACGCTCAAGTAAGGGAAAAGGAGATTTATCAGGTAACATAGTAGAAATTCAAAACATTTTTGTTCTTCTCAATATCTCTTTAAATAGAGGAACTATGATTAAAAACAAATTTTACGTTCACGTTCAATTTACTTTAGTTGACGAAGAAATTTTAGATTCTACTTGGCACCTATTATATAGTGAGAACTAGAAAATTCTAGAATAGGAAGACGACATTAAAGCAATACTGAAATGCATTTGATATTATTACAAAACAAATAGTTTTACTTTTAAGTTATTAAATCACTTATTAAGGGAAATGGGTCTGTTAACACTGCACAAATGATGTGATTCATGTCCAATGGACAATTTAAAGACATTAATTTAGTCTTCTTGCTGTTTATCATTCCAGAGGTCTGGCCACAGGTCTAGAGTTGACAATGCATATGACTCATGAAAGAATAATTAAAGTATTATCATGGGAAGAATAAATCATCATTAACAGATTTTAATGAAGATGTCATAGAGTATGAAAACCAATAGAGTTAACACAAATTAGAGATGTCATGGAGTATGAAGACCAATAGAGTTAACACAAACTAGCAATGTCATAGAATATGAACCGATAGAGTTAACACAAACTTAGAGATGTGTTGGAGTATGAACCAATAGAGTTAAAACAAATAGTAATGTCATAGAATATGAACCGATAGAGCTAACACAAAATTAGAGATGTAATGAAGTATGACACTCCTGCATGCCAAGTCCATTAGCGCCTGATCCAATCAGGGTTCAGTCATGTGTTTGATGTCTATTCTAAACCAATAGAAATAGTTCGGCGGTAACATCTATCTTTTTATCAATCTCATTATGCAATCAGAGTTATGAATCTTTCAATCGGCGCTATCAGTAAATGGAAATATATACTTCTACTGATGGTGATGAACCAATAAAGTTAATACAAACTAGAGTTGTCATGGAGTATGAACCGATATTATTTATGATATTTCAAAGGTATAGATTTACGCTCTCATAAGACAAATTAAACGTCAAGCACAGAATAGGAAGGTGGTTTCATTCAAGGGAGCTCATTCAAACTAAAATATTGCTCAATAACATAAGCATTTGAAAGTAAAATTGTTGCATAAAAATGCAATAATACAGTTTTATACAGCTCAATATATGCGAATATATAAATATAAATGGATGAAATTTTAATGACGACCTGAAGCTCATTAAATATAAGAATCTGAAGATTAAATTTGATGATCTTGTAATGAATATACTAATTTATTTTTCTAAAGAACGAGACAGGTCTACACACTACAGCTGAAATGCAGGGACCCAGGAATGTTAAAAAAAGTTTTTTTAAAACATTTGTTTAAAAAGTGGAGACAGGATAGATACCATCTTAATTTTTGTATTGTATTTTTATTTGATACTTCAATACTCCAATACCCTAATACATAATAAATTTTCTGAATTTAAGTTTGATTTATGTTTTGTTTTGATTTTGCATTTCTTTTGCAATGTTTATGTATTTATCAATAAAGGGACTGTACACGTAATTTTACCTGATTCTCTAGTTCTAGAGGGGTTCGTCCAATTTACAACAACACCTTCGATCAAGAATGTACGAAATATCCCTTATGTTCTCTTTGAAAATCGAGATTTTCAATCTGCTTTAGGTACAAACTACAGGAGAAATTTGTAAAAATTAAAACTTGTCATCAAGGTAGAAAACCGACTATATCTATTACATTAAAGATCAGAAAAAAGGAAACCGTTGAGAACCGGACATAACTCTTTAAATGGAGGATCACACGAAATTACAACGATAGTCCCTTTAAGAACTATGGTATGGGCACTATAGAGCATTAAAGTGAGATAAAAGGGATTATTGGGGACACATTAATCCATTGGGGACATAATCCATTATGTCAAGATATGTACACTGCACTGTTCAGAAAACAAGTACAGTGAGACCCGTAAAACTTAAAAGGAAGAAGACGACTGTTTGACTCAAGTCATGATTTCAAACAGTCCAATGAGCTGGGCTAAGTAGGCCTGGAGTCGTGCCGGCACGACATGCTTAATTATTACGAAAGGATTTTGACTGTCATCTAACCACCTCTTGTTGCATATAATACCCATTCAGGGATTAATTTTTATAATTTTCAAGACATACAATTTATGAATTTAGTCTATTTTTGAAGGTTTTGTATTTTGTATATCCGTGAATATAGAAGTCTGCTTATTTGTCGTGTACTTCAGTTGTACACAATGGAATTCGTTGCAGAAAATTCTAGCCTTTAATATACTCTCTCTGGTACACATTGTAAAGACCCTGGTCACCACCAAATATACACAATGCTTAAATGTCGTCTCCCAGAAACTGCAGTACACTTTGTTTGTAAACAAAGCTATGGAAGTTCTTTTCATATTCCCTGCTATGAACATTTAAAACTTTAAATTAAGAAGAATTTCTGTGCAGTAAAAGTGTTTAAATGAAAACAAACTGCCCAAAAATGTAAATAAACTAACATTGCATTGCTACGACTGCATGCAAAGTATTTAATTTTATCTTTTATTAATACTAATACCCAAATATAGTTAAATTCCATACCACACAAACAACTATTCGGTTGTAGTTTGAACCATCTTATTCTAGTTATCATTGATACACTTTAAGGGAGTGTCCGCGATGAAAATGAAAGGGGGCTTACTACGATAAATAATCGCTTTTGATCGATACTAATCTTACTTCTATCTGTTGCGTCTATAATGATAAAATGGTTAAAAACGTCTCATTTCGAAGAACGTAGATTCCTTACAAACTGAGAAAGTTGCAACATACGACGCGGATCGTTACAAAATCAATTTAATTCCAAACAAAGCATTCAGATATTACAACCTATAGTCATCGATTATTTTTCGACGCATTCGTAAATAGTTGATATTTCATAATATTTTTGACTATTTATGATACGAGAGATGTCCGTGAGTTACTTTTGAAAAAAAAATTCATTGAGACACTTAACCGACCCTGAAAATCTTTTTCCGAGTAACATTGAGGCAAAATGGATATCTTTAATAAAAAGAGAAAAATTCTGCCAATTTCCTCTGCTACAGAAGTCATGCTGATTTTTCAGAAAAAAACGCAATTTAAAATTATCAACACTCATTAATTCATAAAATGGAGGGTCATTTGATGTAATTAACGCAAACAGTCCTTTGAAAGTGTGCCTCCGACTGATCCAAATTGAAATGGGGTTGGTGGTTAAAACTTCCTCCACCTATCTTCCATTCAGAATTCAGATGACAACCAACATGTTTAGTAGACATTCAGTCTGACAAGGACGATCCTTTGACACAATAGAGCCCTCTTTTAAAGACAGGGGGGGGGGGCAAGCGTGAAAAGATTTCTTAAGTTGCTTTTAACGTTTGAAAAGGTTTGTGAGTTATATTAGTTATATATGTAAATCTGACTTATCAAAAAAACATCCATCATTTGTATCACGTTAAAGGGAGAGACCGGCTCTGTAACATATTTGAGCTGAAAGTGCAGTATTTTAGAGAAAACCTTAGAATTCATTTGATACCAAAGAGACATTTTTACGATGTACAGTTTTTAAATAAGAGCGTAAAGTCATTTGTAATATTTCACCAGTTGTTTCAGCCACCAGAAGAAACGTTTTTAACAATTATTTAATAACCCGGACAAAACATGTAAAAAAATATTTATAGACTTATTTGCTTTTATGGAACATATTTCTTAAAAGAAATTATCGTTGAAAGCCATAGAAGAACCGTAGAATCGATAATTTCATTATCACTATCACCGTTGCTGTTTCTTCCATTATTTCTCTCATAGATCTTCAAAATGTCGTCTTCACAATACAAAATAAAGAAAACCTCCAACAAGCGACCCTAGTTAAAAAAATTTGCATAAACCTGCGAGATTTTAAGTTTTAATAACTTATTTCCAATGAAGTATAGTTCATTATTTTTCTCAACCTGTTCCTATACATGCAACTACATAGTTTGTATAAGGTATTTGTTACATGTAGTGTCCATGTTATTTAAGAATTGTAAAAACCCCATTTCATCTGTTGGCTGAAACAACTGGTGAAATATCAAAAACGACTTTACGCTCTTATTTAAGAATTGTATACCGGAAAAAGGACTCATTGGGATCCAATGAATCCTAAAGTTGTTGTCTACAATACTGCATTCTCAGTTCAAATATGTTACAAAACCGGTCTCTCCGTTCTGAATAAAGTGCGACGATTTATTTAGTGTACTGTTGTAGTCTATAGGAATATTGATACTCTCGCATACTGCTTAGAAGTCGGTGCGGCACTTCAAATGCCAGTTATATAAATATAAATATGCATTAATTGTATATGTAGACATATTTATCATGAAAGCTCTTCACTTATAATAATAATAAGAATATTGAGAATATTGTTACCAGATTAACGTCAGTCATGTATTATATTACTATAGGCTTTTAGGGCCCATTTTTTTAACAACTTGCAATTTATTATAACATGTATCTGAATGTGCTTTTATGAAATAAAACAAGAATTACACAGAATCCTGATCGCTTAGCGCCCCTCTTTTTTCCTTCGGTATTGTGTAAATAAATCATAAAAGGTTTTTCTGCTTTTAGTAGTGTATTTCTGCTGCACAGACAATGAAGGAAATTGTTAAAATTAAATCAAGCATAATCTTCTTTAAATTGAGAGTTATTAAATCTACAACAGTTCCTTTAATATATTTTAAATAATGTTACACTTGCTCCCCTTGTATCTTGCAGCATGGAGTGCGTTTGAAGAGAATTGCAATTCTAATTAAACAATTTTTCATTTAAACAAAAGAAAAAGATCTGCACTATTCAAAACAGGTAAAGTGTAAAATTGTTAATCAATATCTTTTTAAATACAGTGAAACCCTTAATAACGAATACATCGGAAGAATTTATCAAATGTCGTCTTGAAAATTTTTCAATGAGTTTTATACTATATTACGTAAATTTCAGTATTTGCGAAAATAAATAAATAGCCATAAATATGCGAGAACAGTTTTAAAGAGTTCCATATAATCATTTAATTAAAAAACTAAATATCTGCAACATTCCATTATCAGAAAGTGAAGAATACGACATTTGATGAATTCTTTCGATGTATTCGTTATTAAGGGTTTCACTGTATGTAAATTACAGTTGAAAGAGGAAGCCCTTTTAATGCTAACTTAAAGGTCCTCTTATAGATAATCTGTAAACTTTTGTTCGAAGCCCTTTAATTGAAGAATCAATTGAAAATCATGTCAAATTTTTTATACTCTGTAAATTGCAAAACATGAAAGACCTTAATAGACGTCGTCTTTGCTAATACAGAATTTGAGTATTTGGATCTAAAATACTCTAGGATTAAAGTTCAAAGACAATGGTTATATCATCTCTCTGAAATGTCACTTTTAACAGGACGCTCTGTATATTTCTTTAAAATCTATTTTTCAAAACTTTTTTGATCTTCTAAATAGCTCGATAATAAGAGGAGTTATGATTAAAAACATAAGATTTAAATTTTACGTACAATTTACTTTTTGTTTTTATTACCTTGAACCTCTTCGAGGCAGTTGTTTGAGGATACCTGCCCCGCTTCCACGCCTAAAAATATAACATTTAGATCAATTTATTAACAAATAGGTGGAGTACCCGGTGTTGCCCAAGTTTATATTAAAGTTACTCCTGGCGTGTAGCCGCGTTTGGTATATAATCATGGTTTAGGCTTGAGTACCCGGCGTTGCCAAGGTTTATATTAAAGTTACTCACGCCATGTAGCCGCGCTTGATATATAATCATGGTTTAGGCTGGAGTGCCTGGTGTTGCCAAGGTTTATATTAAAGTTACTCACGCAATGTAGTCGCGCTTGATATATAATCATGGTTTAGGCTGAAGTGCCTGGTGTTGCCCGTGGAATTAAAATTTTTTACAGGTTATGATTACTCGTTTTTGAATTTAACATCGATTAAAAAATTACAAGATTAGATTCCATAAGTGTGTTTATTGAGTCTCTCTATATTTCTCAGATTAAAATACATTTTTAGTAAAGGAATGATGTAATGCTATGAACATAGAGAATAGAATATATAGAGAGGAATTAAAAGAATCTCTCGGTATGAATTTTTTCAGTCCCTTTCAGCCTGAAAGGAAGTTCAAAGTTTACAAATCATTTAAATGTTCACAAATTATATGCAGTAGAGTACATTAATACAGTATGTTCACTAGACTATCCATTTCAATTTCGAATTTTTTAAACTGTTAAATAAACTTTATAATGAATTAGGTGAATAAAAACATCATTTGATTTATAGTTATAACGGAAAATCATCGTTTGTAAAGTGGATGGCATAGAGTCTATGTGAAATGATCATTGGTCAATTATGAAGCCAGCCTATTTCATAATTTGGGTTTCTTTTAACAATAATTTTAGATTTTCTATGAAATTATGTTCCAGGGCCCAACAGGTTATATAGCATAAATATGTGAAGTACACCTGCAGTATGGAAACAGTACAACAAAATGGCCGTTTTACACTTTTTTCCAGTAAATTCCTCTCTATATATTCTATTCTCTATGGCTATGAATTTTAACAACAACAAAAATTCCCCTTAATAATATTTATGTAGCTTCTAATTGTTTACATATTAACCGTCTACAGACTACATGTTGTATGTGCTGCGTATTGGAAAGCGTAGTTGTACATAAACTGGTAAGTACTGTATTGCTATATACGCCTACCAACTGAACATATACGTGATAAATACATTCTAAATGTTTGATACATTATTTTAAAAATTTAAAAATATTTATAAATTTAAAAATCAATGCCTGAAATTTCAGAGTTTGATTAAAGTGAAAATTAAATTGAAGTTTTAACGATTGCTAAGCTTTGTCTGGAGGGGTTTCTGTAAAAGTCGATCCACACTGCACACAACACGGAATTTTAAAACCCAATTAAAATTTGAGGCAAATCGGTCAAGGGGTTAATAAGTAATAATTACAATGACTTCTTTATATCTATATATATATATATGTATAGAATGAATAGACTGAATAAATAACAAACTTTAGTCGTCTCTGAGTCTCATATTGTAGCTTGGGCCATTATTCATCAGCAAGTTAAGAATCGGTGGCCTACTTTATTTCTATCAGATTTTTTTTGTCAAGTAACTTAATACTAGTATGTATCTCTAAAAGGAACAATCGGTTCATGAAGACAATTTCTCTTCTCAATAGCATCACTCAGTTTAAGTATTTATAGAAGCCTGTCGCCGTGTTAAAATTCAGAATCAGCCCCTTTCAGTTTTTTGTTTAAATCAGGTGGGCCGAGCGGGCCAAAATGTAAATACTAAATAGTAAACAAAGAAACAATAAAACCTTTGTTTATGTAATCTTTATAATTGGGTTGTATATAGAGGCCATATCTCTTTTATACTTTTGCACACATGATAAAATCAAATCTATTCAGAAAATGGAGCAATGTATGCTTGAAAGAGTCCAGATTGTTAAAAACACGGGTTGTTTCTTAATTTAGTTAAATTATAGAAAACCAGATATTTAAGCTTAGGCATGTTTTTTGTGCAATTTTTAATTTTAGTAAGTTATAATTTTTAACTTTTTAAATATTGGTTGACAATGACATCAATCCTGTTTTGCTTGTACAATTCAAAATTACGAATGATTCCAAAATTAACTTAAATCTTTAAAGGAGAAAAGACCCTTAAATTTAACTCTGATGAGAATTCCCCTCACACCGGACTAACCAGAGTGAGCAGCATTCGGTTTCTTCTATTTGAAATCAAACGTGTTTTGGTCTTTGATTCAATAATCATTTACTTTACGGATTTGTTTATGTTATACATTTTCATTCAAAATGCATATGCCAACAAAAAAGTANTCTCATTTGTGATTTATGTGACAGCATGATGGTGCACTGTGCAGTCTCTGCGTAAAATATTGCGTTCGGATGAAGATAAATAAACAAGAATGCGTATAACATGTACGGGTCCCCAATATAAATAAAAAAGGGATTCTCCTCGTAATTTCAACGGATACTTTGCTTATATATGCCCATAATCATTGTACATGCATGGTACTAACCTAAACATGTATCTGAAAAAAAAGTGCAAATATCTGCGTTTTTATTAAAAATTGAAAACTAAAAGAAGCAGCTTCTTTCATAAAATGTTGACTGAGCCTCATGCTTATTGTGAACGAAAAATCACCAAATCTTGAAAAGACGACATCTAGTGTCCTATCTGTTATTTTAATTTATCTCTGCTTAAGAAGTTTTTATTCATTAACACTCCATTTATAGAGTGGCAGGTCCGATTCACATCGGTAAAAACTTTTCCTGAGATTTTTCCTAATTTAAAATATGTAAATTGATTTTCTTCAATAGTTTCTTAAATAACCTTTCCCCCTTTCCTACCTTATTACTCCCCTTAACTTACCTTCCTACTTTCCTTACCTTACCTTCCTACTCCCTAACCCCACTTCCTACTCCCTTGATTATTTTTCTTCTCCCTTTCCTACCTTCTTACTCCTATTACCTAACTTCTTACTCCCTAACCCACCTTCCTACCCTCCTACTTCCTTATCCACCTCTCTTCTACTTGTACCTTCCTACCACCTAACCCATCTTCCTATCTTCCTACTCTCTTACCTACCTTCCTAAAAGTACCGAAAAACGTTCAATGTATTCCTTAAAATATATTACAGGTACCAACAAGCAATCCCTGTATTGTTAAGATTAGAATTAGATATATTACAATTCATAGCTGGATCATATCTCTGCAATATATATACAGTATGCACTGATACAGAGCATCCCTTTATCTATTCAGGACCGGAAGGGGGGGCGGGGGCAACTTAAGAGAGCGTAGTAAAACAAAACTGGAGAATTTTATCATTTCTGTATATTTTTAATATTTGAAAGAATCTACAAAAAATGTCTCTTTCTACCCCTTAACCTGGTTTTCGAAACCGGGTTTAATACTTATGCCCTGTTTATAAGTTTCTGTCCCTGAAATAATAATACAATTGGTGGTTAAAGTGCACGACCAAAATAGAATATTATATACAATGGACGCCGCGCTTGACCCAGTACTTCTACGGACAAAGAGGTCATCGGACCTGGAATACTGATTTTAACCTCAAGAAGAATTATGGCCAAATTGTTTAGAGTCATATTTCAGCATATTTTATGCCTTCGTCTACCAAGTCTTTAAAACTGTTTGAATCTAAGCTAAAATTTGGGTTTCAAAATACTGGAATTTGTTTTCCCGTTTTCAGAACATTGGTTCAAAAATATTTACAATAATTCACGTCCCATGAGATTTCAAAGACGACTGTTTGGAATTACTTCAATCTTATTACTTGCATTCATGGTTTCTTTCAGCTGTAAACTTCTTTCTTGCATTTCCAAATTATTTAATACTAGCTGAAGTGCCCGGCGTTGCCCGTCAATTTTTGAAAAAAAATGTTCCGAGTTTTGAAGAAAGAAAATTGTTTTGAAATTTTAAAAAAATATTTCGATTTTGTTTATTCTTCCCCTACATACATACATAGAAATATATACATTTTAAGCAAAGAGGTTTATTATATAGACAAATATACAATATCATGTAGTTTTCAGGCAAAACCACAAGTTAAGCATTTAGATCGTCATGTCGTCTTTATACTTTTACTTTGTTGGTGAATAAGTGCATACTCAACAATTGTTTACACTATACTATTGCTCATATTTGAATATGTAATATAGGTTTGCGTGGTTAGTTTTTTAGATTAGAAAAGGATAGGTTAGGTAAGACACTTGGATTAGCGTGGTTTTGTTAAAATTGAAGTGAATAAATACTACAGGACAAATGGAATAGAGTGGGCTTCTACTGCTAATTAGAGGTGCATACTCGACAAATAGATTAGCGTGGTGTTGTTTTGTTGAATAAGAAGTGTATACTGGACAAATAGATTAGCGTGGTGTTATTTTCTTGAATAAGAAGTGTATACTGGACAAATAGATAAGCGTGGTTTTGTTTTGTTGGATTAGAAGTGCATACTTGACAACATATATAATCATGGCCTAAGCCCTAAAATTCAAATTTTTAATCCGTTTAACAAGTTGAAAATTCTTGTCCGGATTGTTTTTGCTTAAACAATGCACGTTGCAGTGTGCACGGTTCAATGTGCACTCATGGTGTAGATTACACGGACTAGAATATATTTATGCACGCATGTATCGTCAATTAATTGAAAGTAAGCTCTAAAAACGTGAAATTGATTAGCCATGGTCACGTTTTTCCATTTCAAATTAAAAACTGAATATCAATATTCATATTCATTCTCGATTTTTTTTAAATCGGCGAAAAAAGTGGTGGTTCTTGTTTTACTGCCCAGTGAATATTTTAAGAAAGATAGTGCTTACTATTTTGTATTTATTCTTAATTAACAATTGTAAGATTGCAATATGATAAATTACTTTATAGTATATATTAATACAAGGACTGTCAACGTAGAATGTGTGATGGGTATGTCTGATTTCACAACGCTACCAGTTAGTCCTTAATCTCATCCATTATGTGATAATATGGTCGCTTTTATGGTATGTAAAGTGTTTAATTCTGATAATTTCTTCATTGTTTCCTGAAGTAGAATTGCGCGAGTCACTTATAAACAATTCATTTGAAAATGAACAGTTTTCAAAATTATAAACACACCTATCTAATTAATATATACAATATATACAATGTGAATTGTAAATACCGATCTATTAATAAAGGTTCACTTAAAATTATGTTTATAGTCCGATTAAGGGTGGACTTTATTCCATCGACCAATTGATATTGAATTTAAAAAAAAAACAGAGATTAGATTTAGATTAAATAATTGTTTATCTTTCTTAAGAATATTAACTCAATGGTTTTTATTTTGAGCCTGAGCTCGCTAGTCACGAAACTAGTTTTAATCAAAACTAACGATAATGATTGTATCGCTTTTAGGCAGTATATCAATCAATCAATTTAACATTTTAAAGATTTGTTCAGTTTATAACATTTCAAAGAAATCTGAGGAATTTAACAATATATATAATTTATGCGACGTTTATTAAGACATTTAACCGACTGTTCTTTGCTAAAAAATTTCTCATTTGTGATTTATGTGACAGCATGATGGTGCACTGTGCAGTCTCTGCGTAAAATATTGCGTTCGGATGAAGATAAATAAACAAGAATGCGTATAACATGTACGGGTCCCCAATATAAATAAAAAAGGGATTCTCCTCGTAATTTCAACGGATACTTTGCTTGTATATGCCCATAATCATTGTACATGCATGGTACTAACCTAAACATGTATCTAAAAACAAAAGTGAAAATATCTGCGTTTTTATTAAAAATTGAAAACTAAAAGAAGCAGCTTCTTTCATAAAATGTTGACTGAGCCTCATGCTTATTGTGAACGAAAAATCACCAAATCTTGAAAAGACGACATCTAGTGTCCTATCTGTTATTTTAATTAATCTCTGCTTAAGAAGTTTTTATTCATTAACACTCCATTTATAGAGTGGCAGGTCCGATTCACATCGGTAAAAACTTTTCCTGAGATTTTTCCTAATTTAAAATATGTAAATTGATTTTCTTCAATAGTTTCTTAAATAAACTTTCAGACAATAAATGGAGGGAATAACGTTGAGAACTGTTTGCAGAAAAAATAGCAAAATAGCAACAAAATAGCAACAAAATAGCAACAAAATAGTAACGAAATAGAGACGAAATAGCGACAAAATAGAGACGAAATAGCAACAAAATAGCGACAAAATAGCGACAAAAGAGCGACAAAAAAGCGACAAAATAGCGACAAAATAGCAACAAAATAGCGACGAAATAGTGACGAAATAGCGACAAAATAGCGACAAAACAGCAACAAAATAGTGACAAAATAGCAACAAAATAGCGACAAAATAGTGACGAAATAGCGACAAAATAGCAACAAAATAGCAACAAAATAGTGACAAAATAGCAACAAAATAGCAACAAAATAGTGACAAAATAGCAACAAAATAGCGACAAAATAGCAGCAAAATAGCAAAAAAATAGTTACAAAATAGCGACGAAATGTTTCTATATTTTACTCAACAAAGGTTTAAAGGTTGTGAAGCGGAAATGCTTTATACTCTCTAAAATAACGTGTACAGTCCCTTTAATATTTTATCCTTGTATAATCTGTTGCAAATCTTATTCTCTAATGTTGAAGACTTTATTTCCTTATCAGAGTTTTTGCGTAACTTGCGTGGTATAAATCTTTAATGCGTCAGAACTTAGAAGCGTCAGATGATAGCGTTTGTGTGGAAATAATAGATTACAAAGCAAGGAAGTGTGATAAAATAATCAGTTATTTGAATCTGATGTATGTGATGCATTTTTAGATCTTAAAGGGACTGTAAGCGTAATTTCAAGTGACCCTGCATGCAGGGAAACCACCATTGAAAGTAGTGAGTTTTCCTAATTTTTTAAATCTAATTTATACTTGATCAGAAAAAGTTTTTAAGGGTACCGTTGTGAATCGGGCATTTACATTCTTAAATAGAGGGTTAATTACTTGAAATTACTTTAATGGATACATGATATATATTTTTCTGTGCTGCATTATAATATTTACAATGGATTTGTAAGAATAAAGGTGATTGAAAATGTGTTTATATCTTTGTAGCTGTGTGACGTATTTTGAAAGATGTGTGATGTACGTATATGTACAGCTGTTTATGTATAGAAACTGCTCAATGTATCTGTGGAATTGCTTTATTTATCTGTGACGCTACTAGGTGTACCTGTGACGCTACTAGGTGTATCTGTGACGCTACTAGGTGTACCTGTGAAGCTGCTAGGTGTATCTGTGACGCTACTAGGTGTACCTGTGAAGCTGCTTATAGTCTATGTGATTCCGCTTGACCTATTTTTGAAGGTGTTTAAGTGTCTGAAGCTACTAAATGTATCTGTGAAACTGCCTGGCCTATATGTTAAGCTGCTAAATCAATGTATTTGTGAAACAGATTGATGTATCTGTGAACACATTTGATTTATCTGTTGAACTGCTTGATGTATCTGTAAATCCACTTGATGTATACGTGAAACTGCTTGATGTATCTGTGAAGCTGCTTTAAGTATCTGTGAAGTTACTTGATGAAGCTGCTCAATAATAACGTATCTGTGAAGCTGCTTAATAATAATCTATCTGTGAAGCTGTTGTCTTGTCGAAGGTAAGAATATGTATATTTGTAAATATTGGCGCAAACCGTACAAGCATCTAAATATCCGTGAATATTTTGACGAAGCTAACAACCCATTTTCAAATCAAGAATTATTTAAGAAGTTTTGCATCTAATAATCAGAAAATATTTACACAGTGGATAATCTGTAAATGTCAGCAAAACTACGCAATATACGCATCTGCTAATCGGTAAAGATTGACGCATCTTTCGTCTGTGTGAGCGTAGATGCGTCAGGTCTGGAGTTTGTCTCTATCTTGTCGTGCAGGGTTGGGATCAAGTTTGAATGAATATTTGTATTTGGTTTTGTCATGCTTACTGTGCAATGTTTGTAAATATTGATAGATTGATAGAATAAATTGATGGGGGGGGGGGACACTGCAACACCCAAATCATTGAATGGTAGCAATCAGATTATCTGATAGATTTGTAGTTATGCAAATTTATATCCTACAGATAGGTGGTACTCAAACTTTTTTTTACAATTGCATTCTTTAAATTTTTACCATTAAGCTTACTATTGCCCAATTTTCATGTAATTTTTAGCATGCATGANACATAATCAGATTTGAACAAATAGATTTAATTGTCAATATCAGAAACTAATGATCCTTTTTAAAAAGGTCAAATTTAACAACAGCAGCTTAAGATAATCATTACTAATCAAACATAAACATTAAGTGTATTGAATTAAAAACTGTTTTTTTAAAAAAGGAACTGTAAGTCCTATATGTATAATGTGTACCTACAGTTATAGAAATGCGCAAGTCACTTTTGTTAAAAAATCACAATTGAAAATAATCAGTTTTCAAAATTATAAACATAGATATCAGATCATATTTGATCAGACAAACCTTTAAAGGCGAGCATCGCTATCTTTTCATTAAAGATCACGTTCAGTCCCTTTAATACTCTTTAATGATGATGTTTTGATAATATGTTTATTTTAGAATAAAAGAATTTTCTTCTCTGATTAAAGGTGTTTATTATGACAAATGTCGCTTCATGATATACTACACAATAAATAATAACTAATCAGATTTAATTTCGTCAAATTAACAAGTTGTCAAACTGCTAAAGAAGACCTCTGCATTTTCGAAGGCTGAATTTCAAAATAAACGTTCTGATATCGAAATATCAGCTTTATAATCATGATTCCTTAACCTCCTTTTCTCATTTCGTGAACACTCCTTTTTAATATATTTTGTAAACATACGTTTAAAAGAAGAAGAGTAGATGTATCCTTCTTTTAAATTCTTATATTTGTCTCTTGCTTTTTACGCGCCAATATTCTACGCGGTCTTCCTGCTGGGTTGATACGTGCTCGGAATATTTATTAAGAATTGATCAAAGATAAAAGTTTGACGAATGAGGATGATGTTTATGTTGATAATTTTTTAAAAATGTGCAATATTAACAGAATAATCGTCAAATCATAGTCAAGGATAACTTTTTCAAGTGATCCTCTATTTCACGAGTGGCAGATTCAATTCAAAACATTCGTCTCTGCAAAAGATCCTGAAAAGATCTTAATGTTTTTCAGCCTGAATATTTACCATTTTTAAATTGGGGGGTTCTCTCTAAAAATAGTTTGTGGATTAAGAAGATATGAAATTTATTTACTCTGATGGAACAATTCCTTACCTAATTTGAAGATTATCTTGAAAAGAACTTGAATCAGTTTCTGTTCTTCCGACAGATCCCCGTCTTATATCAAGCTTTACACCGCCGGCGGAACCCCGTCGGTTCATATCGGCGGATCGTCCACAAGAACCTCGGCGTGTGTTTTCAAAACTTATTCGGCTGTTTGAACCACGTCTGACGAATTCAATGCCTGGCCCGATTCGTCCGTTTGATCCTCGTCGAACTGAATTAGCACTGATTCGACCATTGGAACCTCGCCGACCTTTATCTCCGGCGGGTATAGCCCTTCCATTTCTAAAATGACATGTTTCTTCCTTTCCTTCCTGTCTTTTCTTCCTTTCCTTCCTGTCTTTCCTTCCTTTCCTTTCTTTCCCTCCTTCCTTTCCTTCCTTCCTTCCCTTCCTTCCCCTTCTATCCTGCTTGACATATCTAAAAGAAAATGTTTCCTAAATTGTTGATGTCTTCTTGATTCTACGATAATTGGTATAACACCCATCTCACTAATTAAACAACTCTGGTCCGATCATAAACTCTGGAGATCTGAACGCAATTAAGAAAGATCTTATTAGATAAATTGCTTTAAAATAGCACCCTTATTGCTTTATATGATAAATGAAACCAAATAACCGGCCTAGACTTGGAAACTAAACCGGAAATATTGTAGTGTATAGTCCACTTTAGTTTACAACAAATTGATTTCAATTTTTATAATCCAGTTTAATAACAATTAGATCAGATATTTGTTTTCCTTGATTAACTATGAAGATATGGATGGATTGAACCTATTTATCTCTAAGTTCCAAGAATATCTGCTATCTGCAGGTTGTGGTATAAGGAGCGCTAGTGCAGGGACTGTATATGTTCACCTCGCTACACTCCGCTTTAAACTGAAGAACCTTGATGCTTTTAATACTCAATAAATTGATAGATGAATGGAGAGACAGGACACAAGATATTGAGGATAGGAAGGATGAAATAAGACAGGAAGGATAGAATAGGAAGAAAGGAAAAACAAATAATAAATATTCGGAGTAGGATGGAAGGAAGGAAAAAAGAATATATGGAATAGGACAGGAAACAAGGATAGCAGGATGGATAAATGAAGGAAAAAGGTAGGATGGATAAATGAAGGAAAAAAGGTAGGATGGATAAATGGTGGAAAAAAGATAGAATGGATAAATGAAGGGAAAAAGGTAGGATGGATAAATGAAGGAAAAAAGGTAGAATGGATAAGTGAAGGGAAAAAGATAGGATGGCTAAATAAAGGAAAAAAGATCGGATGGATAAATGAAGGAAAAAAGGTAGGATGGATAAATGAAGGAAAAAAGGTAGGATAGATAAATGAAGGAAAAAAGGTAGGATCGATAAATGAAGGAAAAAAGATAAGATGGATAAATGAAGGAGAAAAGTAGGATGGGTAAATGGTTAATATAGAACATTTTCAATCTACTTTCTTTATTCGTATATTGTTAATCAATAGTTTAAAAGCAAATGAATTAATTCAAGAATAAATAATTATTTTGTGAACTGTTAAATTGCACCTTTTTAAAAAAAAGCGACAGCCCGAGCAAACTGAACTAAAATATTTAATCCATGAACAAAAACGTATAATAATGGGAACAAGAACTATTATAATCAAAACAGTCGGGATTCGCATGATGTCTACAGGGTGTCCCAGTGAACATGTCTACAAGGTGTCCCAGTGAACTTATCTACAGGGTGTCCCAGTGAACATGGGAATTCCAGAATCGACTTTGATTTCGCGCATGTTTTGAACTTAAGAATTGACGGACAGATACAATATAAAGACAATTTTGAAATTATTTTTTAAAAAATTTTAATCAAGAATATATTGCTAAAAATGTCTCCGTGAAATACTGTGTTCACAAAAACTATGCCGCGCAAATCAAAGACGATTTAATAAAGTGACAAAACATGTAATTTTAAGGATCTCTTTGATTTTTTCAAATTTTTGACATCCTTTGTGTTTAATTAAATATTTACTTTTATCACTTTTTATTCTTTTTTTTTGCAAAGTCGTCTCTGTTTTCTTCGATTTTTTTGCAAACATAGCATGTGTGAAAGTTTAAACATTATTGATTGACATTTAACTTTTCAGATGATACCCCATCTTAAAAAATAATTAGGTTTCTTATAATTATTTACGAATTTGCAGGACGTGTAAGAGACTGGAGGAATATTTATCAAATTTGGAATTTGTTAAATGACTTCAGTTTCACATCTTTTGTTATGTTTTAGCAAACCTTCACAGTCAAGACCAGACATTGCACTCTCTAAACATATAGGAATTATCAGAATTAAACACTTTATAACATTGAAAAAGACACTTTCTGCCACATTATTGATTCAGTTCATGGTTTCAATCAAGGGTACCGCTCACCGTCTCATGGTTTAGATCAAGGTTACCGCTCACCGTCTCATGGTTTCGATAAGGGTACCGCTCATTGTCTCATGGTTTCAATCAAGGGTACCGCTCACCATCTCATGGTTTAGATCAAGGGTATCGCTCACCATCTTATGGTTTAGATCAAGGTTACCGCTCACCGTCTCATGGTTTCAATCAAGGGTATCGCTCACCGTCTCATGGTTTCGATCAAGGGTACAGCTCACCGTCCCATGGTTTCGATCAAGGTTACCGCTCACCGTCTCATGGTTTAGATCAAGGTTACCGCTCACTGTCTCATGGTTTAGATAAAGGTTACCGCTCACAGTCTCGTGGTTTTGATCAAGGTTACCGCTCACCGTCTCATGGTTTAGATCAAGGTTACCGCTCACCGTCTCATGGTTTTGATCAAGGTTACCGCTCACCGTCTCATGGTTTCAATCAAGGTTACCGCTCACCGTCTCATGGTTTAGATCAAGGTTACTGCTCACCGTCTCATGGTTTCGATCAAGGTTACCGCTCACCGTCTCATGGTTTCAATCAAAGATACTGCTCACCGTCTCATGGTTTCAATTAAAGGTACCGCTCACCGTCTCATGGTTTCGATCAAGGTTACTGCTCACCGTCTCATGATTTCAATCAAGGGTATCGCTCACCGTCTCAAGGTTTCGATCAAGGGTACCGCTCACCGTCTCATGGTTTAGATCAAGGATATCGCTCACCGTCTCATGGTTTCGATCAAGGTTACCGCTCACAGTCTCATGGTTTCGATCAAGGGTACAGCTCACCGTCCCTTAAGCACTCTAATTTTAATGAAAGACGGTGATTCTTTGAATAATATTTATTACATTTTAACAATAAGATAAATATCTCTAACAAGATTGTGCACTGTACAATATAACGAATAAGTAAATAGTTTTTTAGAACATGAAATAACAAGGAGAATAGTTATATTAATCTTGATAATTTTAGATACATTGGTTCTCACATAAAAGAGATCTCTGAAATCTCATCCTTATTAGACACTGTATCTTTTTCAACGCATAGTAATAACATATAATGCCCAAATTGCATTTTTTCTTCATTAATTTCGATTTAATGAAATGATTAGAAAATTAAGAAAATATTCAGAGACTGAATTGACCTTAGAGGATAAATATTAAGAGACTTTGAACCTCTAAGGATAAATATTCAGAGACTGTGGACCTCAGAGGATAAACATTTAGAGACTTTGAACCTCAGAGGATAAATATTCAGAGACTGTGGACCTCAGAAGGTAAATATGAACAGGCGGTGGCGCTATGATGATAAATATTTAGAGACAGTGGACCTCAGAGGATAAAGATTTCGAGACTGTGGACCTCAGAGGATAAATATTTAGAGACGGTGGACCTCAGAGGATAAATATTTAGAGATTTTGAACCTAGGAGGGTAACAAAATGGACCTTGGATGATAAATATTTATAGACTGTGGACCTTAGAGGATAAATATTTAGAGACAGTGGACCTTACAGGATAAATATTTAGAGACAGTGGACCTCAGAGGATAAAGATTTAGAGACGGTGGACCTCAGAGGATGAATATTTAGAGACTTAGGACCACAGAGGATAAAGATTTAGAGAAGGTGGACCTCAGAGGATGTATATTTAGAGACTGTAGACCTCAGAGGATAAAGATTTAGTGACTGTAGACCTCAGAGGATAAAGATTTAGAGACTGTGGACCTCAGAGGATAAAGATTTCGAGACTGTGGACCTCAGAGGATAAATATTTAGAGACGGTGGACCTCAGAGGATAAATATTTAGACCAACTAAAATTGAATTTGCCCTCCAACTAAAGAACGCCAGGATCAATAAAGAATAAAATATCTCAATCACCTATTTGCAGATAAAAAGGGCACCGTTGTGAATATTTATGGCACTCTTAAATAGCGAGTGATTTTGAACTACGTTTACATATTTTAAGTGAGAAATATAAAATAAATGTTTGCACTACAAGAAAGATCTGCTAAAAGTTAAGCACAATATTTTAGAAAAGACACCCAACGAGATTATGAGAAAAAAGAATTATGTTTTTAACAAGAATTACTAGCACTGCTTAGTAAACATGCAAATGGATATTTTTTTTGGCGCTAAAAACTTTCAGATTTCTGTCGAATTAACGAAATTACACCAAGTTATACAATGTACTTACATGTAACGATTGTCAAATCAAAATCAATTTTTTAATGCACCTTCTTCATTTATCAATAATAATTGAATAGGACGTCCAGATTTGTTGTGCATAAAAATATACCTTTACTCTGTGGAAATAAGCTTTGTCCATTTATGTCAACATATTTAGAAGTAAACATTAAATGCAATAAAATGCATTGTATGCAGAAAGTTCATTTGCCTAACTTAGAAGTTGAGACGACATTTTTTTATATGTCTAACATTTCTGACTTGTCGGCTTTATATAGAGGCTACAATGAAATATACATCGAATTGATAACCTTTTCCCTACGTATTTTTACTTAATGTTTTTGTCCAATCTCAAATCTTCTAGCGGAGGATTCAGAGTGAAATAAAAGCAAATCTAATAAAAACAGATAATGCATAAAATCCTCAATTTTAAGATTTTTTTGTGAAGCCTCCAGAAATGCTAAGAAAGATCTGAAAATGAGGCCCCAACCTATATAGTAGTGACCGGAAAACTGAATCGGTCAACTGCAAATTAGACTATTTATGCATCATCTTCTTGAATTCAGAATAACTTAGTCTTCCATCTCCATCAGAATCAAACCGTTTAAATGCCTGAAATTGTATCATTATTAATATTGTTATGATTTCTGACATAAATTTAAGTTAAATCGCGTTGAACGAAATTTGCAATGATTTTGAATATTTTGTCTTATTTTGCTTTAACAAAAAATGCAAAAATAAAAATGAACGAGTTGTTTAATAATGCGAAAAACGTTGAAACCGCAATATCTGTGTATATAAATCCTATCTGTGTAATCTGTGTATATTTTTCTAATATAAATCCTATCTGTGTAATCTGTGAAGTTGCGTATACTCTGCGTATATATTGAAACCAGTTCTCTCTGGGCGGAATTTGTAAACAAGAATAGATGCATCAGTGTTGGTTTAGTATCCGAGGTGGATAAAAGCATTTAATTTTGAAAATTTTAATAATTCACATTATAGTTTCCTATGACCAGAATATTTCATAGATTATTTTTGTAAAAATTGATTCCATGTCAGGCTGTGACATCCGTGTTGTGTTTACTTTTCCGCCCAAAGACAGTAGAATGCAGTACAAGAAATGCGCACATCTCTGAAATAACTTTCCTTGAATTAGTACCTTGACCCAGGGGTATTCGTATTGGCAACCCCAGGGGCGACATAGACTAAAAATCTATTTAAAAAAAAGTATTTTTAAAACATTGATCTTGTTATAAAATAAACCATAAAATAAATTATAGATAAAACCTTTTCGAAGTTTTTTGCTATGAAGACCGGACATACTTAGCTCAAGCTAATTTTTCGTGATAAAACTTTCATGATAAATTTATTTTATAAGAAGGATCGAGGACAAGATGAAACAGCGCTTTCAAGTCCTCTTATGAACACTGCATATTTAATTTATGTAGTAAAACTTACCGTGCCAAATATAAAATTATTTGATGTATTTGTATTGTTCAACTAAAATTAGGTGCTCATTGGTGACTGACAAAAAATGTTTTAGACGTGAAAATAGCAAATATATAATCCACCTACTTTCAGCTCAATTTCAGCTAATTTGAATTTCAAAGGCCTTTCAACTTTCAGAACATTTGCTGTTTTTACAATCAATTCTGGTAAATTCTAGCTTTTATCAAGGAATATGTATTTATAAGGTTAATATATAAGGTTTACTTCATAAAATAGTATTCTTTGCCAAATTTTAGCGAACAAAGTTGTTTTGACACTAGAACAAGAAAACTAAGCTACACATGCACTTAATTTCCTTTTTTCATTTCCCATTTTCCGCCTGGTAATTTTAACAGAAAAACATAATATTATCTATTATACAAAAATAATATTATTTGTATTATTGTAATATTATTGTAGTAAACCAGCATGCAATGTATCTGCATTTTTTCTTTCATATTATTTCTTTGTATATATTTTACTGAGCTTCCTATACCTCTCCTGTTCCTGGGTGTATAGATTTTATTATGCAGTAGAAGTAATAATAATCAAGGCTGTCTAGTTGGAGGGGGATTTATTCTACCATAATCATAGACATGTACAGACCGAAGTCAGGACTTTTGTGTTGTTCTGGATTTCCATTTTCACGCACAACCGGTGTACATTTGAATATTCGAGTTGGGCCAACCTTTGCGGTCCTAGTTTGGACAGTACCGCCGATTTACAATTACTAAAGTGGAAGACCTGCGTGTTTGATGCTGTCTTACGGATTAACTTAATTTCTCTTCTATAGCCGTGATTATCAAACCCTTCAGGGATAACAAAAATGAAGGGATCAAGCATTGATCATCAAATCTAAAAGTGTCCATATTGGATATCGATATCAAGTGTTCAAGGTTAACAAAGCTCGCGTCAGTCCCGAAATAGTTGCAACTGATGTGTAATCCCACGTTGATTTAACAATTCTATCTTTGTCTCAGCAAGCTTTGACTTTCGATAAGAAGTTGACCAATTAAACAATAGGGGTGTATGTTTTTCAGAATCACAATTACATATTTTTGATGTTCCGAAGTAAAATTTAAAATGGAATTTCAAAAGGACACTTTTTTCAATCTCAGAAAATAAAATGTTTCCCCTTCAAACTCAATAATTTTCTCCAATTCAGTGAAAAAACCCTACAAAAAAATGAAATATGGAAAAACTATTTATAAGGGGGGGGTGTTTTTTGAGGAAATGTACACCCCTGTTAAACAATGGAAAAGGTAAACAAGACAACTCCGTCAGTTTAAAGATTGTTGAATTTTAGATAAAAACGCGAATCAATTCAAATAGAAAATACCGAACTTATTTTGCCTTCCTTTTTCCAGGGTAACACTTGATATATCAATGATGATGAGAAAGTTGGAATTAGAGGCAAGCCATCAGTTCATTTGTTCATTATTTGAGATTTTGAAGACATTTTTAATTTTTTGATTAGCTTTTTAACTGTGTTGAAGAAAACAAAAAGAAAATACATTTGATAAGTCTCTATTATCTGTGAGTAAAGTATGTTTGATAAGTCTCTATTATCTGTGAGTAAAGTATGCAGTAAAACTCAAATTTCTTTCATTTATTTAGACCTCCATACATAGAATGATATATTTAAGTGTTACAAAAAGAAAACTATTTCTTTGCTGTACGCCAATCTAAGTGTATGTGTATCTACTAAACTAAATAAAAAGTTTAAAAATAATCAAATGATTCACTTAAAATAGTCCATATATTCAATTTGGAATTTGGATATTTGGAATATCTGAACAGAACTATCTAAATTTTTAGCGAACATTTCCATAACATTTTTGCGCGATGGTGCAAAATTTTTTTCTCTTTTCGTAAATATATTTATGAGCAAGTGAATCAATTTTTATAAATTGGACGGCCTTTTTTTTGTTCCTTGGGAGGAGTCAACGAATTGTTTCGAAAAAATTGCGCGAAATTAATTAAAAAGTTTTTTTTTCAATGAAAATTTGTCAGAGAGTATTGGATTTGTTCCCCTGAACATCTTTGTGAATAGTCTAATTTACGATCCAAAATTCGAAAATTATGATATTTAATCTCATTAATAAAATTGCAAATGAAACTATGTTAGATAGTCACTTGAATGGGAATTGGGAATCTCATTCGAACTTATTCTAACCTTTCATTTTACCAACTCACTGTGCTTTCATTTGAGAGAGAATGTAATTAGAAGATTAAGGATGCATTGTATTACAGCAACCTAACTTTACATAAGTTGTATTTTTTCACATCATATAAAAAAGTTACATACTTATACATAGCAATGGCATTTGTTGTAGGGAAATTATTCCTTTAATAGGGAGACCTAAGATCACAACTTTTGTATTGTTTATCACATTCATCACGGATTAAGTTAATTTTTTACGTATATCACCACATATAAGCCTCACCACTCACCTGCAGTCCCCACCTCATCACTCACCACTCATCACTCACTACCTCATCATGCACTCACCACCTCACCACTCACCTGCAGTCCACACCTCATAATTCACCACTCATCACTCACTTCCTCATAATGCACTCACCACCTCACCACTCACCTGCAGTCCCCACCTCATAATTCACCACTCATCACTCACTACCTCATCATGCACTCACCACCTCACCGCTCACCTGCAGTCCACACCTCATCACTCACCACTCATCACTCACTACCTCATCATGCACTCACCAGTTACCAATAACAACTGATTATTCACCACTAAGATAAACACTTACCAGTTCAACTTGTTCCTTTGTCAGCTTCTTAGAGAGTTTTATCATCTCAGCTTTGGTTATATATCCATCTTTATCCTACAAATATAAAATATATATTTGCTTTGTTTGTTTGTTAGATTTGTTTATTTACATTATATTATACATTATATATCCAATATCCATGGCTTTCGTAATATTGTAATGTTACAAATAAATAATGAAGAAGTATATATTTCTATAAGGATGAAAGTACATAATATACCGAGTTATAAATCATTAGATATATTGTATTATGACATTACACAAGTTTACTATTGCTGACATTGAAAGAATAAACGTTTATTGCTCTCCCGACTTTATACTTGACTCTAAATGTACTAAGGCCGAATTTAAAGAATTTGAGCGGCGGCTTAAATTTAAGCCGCGGCTTAAATATGGTTGGTTTCACTTAAATTTGTATTCAATGTTTCAAGATTTAAGCCGGCGCTCAATTGAAACCGGTTTTTGGGTGATTTGAGACGCGGCTTAAATTCATTAAATTCGGACACTGATCAAATAATTCAAGTTTGAAATATCAAAGATTTACACAATAATGACGCAAAGATATAGAAATTAGAAAATTTAAGTATGTGACAACTGACAGAGACTTAATTCCTTTGCTTCTGCAATTTAAAAAGAACTGAAATCTGGACTAAGGAACTGAGTTCTTGCCATATATTCTAATTTTCTTATCCTTATGTCTTTGCAACCTGATGTCGTCATATTTATAAATTTGAAACTGTTTAGCATTTGCATGCTTTTCAATTTTTTTTATTAATTAAAATTTATATATATAGAATTTTAATTACTTTCACTTTCAAATCTCATCGCGTCATCTGATAGTTACAATACAAAAACAGGATCTGTTTTTTCTTCATTATATTTCTAATGTTTTCGGCGAACAAAATAGAGAAATGACTCTTATTCTCTAATCCCTATATCATGGCAACCTCTTATCCTAAAACTTATAACATATATATAGTGACAAATTTATGAAGTAAAGTTAAAATTACACATTACAAAGTCCTGAGAAGTAAAAATTACACATTACAAAGTCCTGAGAAGTAAAAAATACACATTACAAAGTCCTGAGAAGTAAAAATTACACATTACAAAGTCCTGAGAAGTAAAAATTACACATTACAAAGTCCTGAGAAGTAAAAATTACACATTACAAAGTCCTGAGAAGTAAAAAATACACATTCCAAAGTCCTGAGAAGTAAAAAATACACATTTCAAAGTCCTGAGAAGTAAAAATTACTCATTACAAAGTCCTGAGAAGTAAAAATTACTCATTTCAAAGTCCAGAGAAGTAAAAATTACACATTACAAAGTCCTGAGAAGTAAAAATTACACATTACAATTAGTCCTGAGAAGTAAAAGTTACTCATTACAAAGTCCTGAGAAGTAAAAATTACTCATTTCAAAGTCCTGAGAAGTAAAAATTACATATTACAAAGTCCTGAGAAGTAAAAATTACACATTTCAGAGTCCTGAGAAGCATAAAAAGTTTTTATTTAAGATTCTCCGATTCTCCGATACAGCTTCTCAAAACTCTCATGATAAATTATTCGCAACATTTCTCAAACTTTCTGTTAAGAGTAGATTCTTTCCTAAATACATTTCTCCTAGACATATCTTATACAGATCCCCAGGCATAGATATATATTCCTAGAAACTCCTCTCCTTCTACGACTATTCACTTTCCTTTCCCCATCCCCCATCATTGCTTTTACCTCCAAATGATCTATTTCCCCATAAAACAATTTATTTGCATTCTCATCGTTTTAAACAGTTGTTCCACTTCTAATACCTTGAGTGCTATTTTCGATGCAGGGTTGGAAAAAATTAATAAAAATTGACACGATAGGGTTAGAAAGCATAATTTATTTTTTTGTTTTAACTTGCGCAATGAAGACATGTTTTGTTTTCAACGGTGAATTTGTCAAAATCGAAAATAATTAAGTTAATTTTTTACGNATAATTGCTTGAAAATAATTGCTTGAAAATAATAGGTTGAAAATAATTGCTTGAAAATAATAGCTTGAAAATAATAGATTGAATATAATAGCTTGAAAATAATAGCTTGAAAAAAATTGGTTGAAAATAATATCTTGAAAAGAATTTGTATCCTGAAAGACCCAAAACTGCCAAGGGGCTGGCTATGTCAGGTCCCACATAAAGCCTGTATAATGTGTATTGCTTTAGCTGTTTTCTCTTAAAGATTAAAAAATAGTAAAAAATAAAAAAGCAAACAAGCATATTTAGAAGTTAAAAATTTCAAGCAATTTGCTCGATTAACAAATCTGACAAGTATGAATTAAATATCTATGTTTTTTTATTTAAAAAAAGGTTTTTATCAATCGGGGTTTATCTACAAAGTGAATTGTGCATTTCTATGTACTTCAGGAAAACATGTAGGAATTATCCTAATTAAACACTTTGAAACCTAAAGAAACGACAATTCCACATTAATGATTTTAAAGGTACTGTCACGTGCAGCTGTAGTACATTTGAATTTCCGAGCCGGGTCAACCTTTCCGCTCTAAGCTTGTATTGTACCTAGCTCTATGAACAGGACTAGCCGGTGCAACATGGTTGACGCGGTCAGACTTTATGCTTCATATATAGGCTGAATTTACTTTTACTAAAGGGGCAGATTTGCATGCTGTTGATAATCGGACATTGCCATCTTTGCATAAAGGGTTACTTGAAATTTCGCTTAGAGTCCCTTATGAAAACTCAAAACCACCTTATTTATAACATTGCTCAGTCATTTTAATTTTATTCCTACTTTACATTATATACATCATAAATGTGTTTAGGAGGGTTATGACGTCATAACATTATTTATGTTTTGTATTATTCAATGTCATGGTCCTTGGATTATTGTTGTAAAGAAATATCTTTTATCAAGATTATGAAAGAAACATTTTCTTGTTTTATGCTTCCATGCTTTCTTATTTTCATGTTTTTGTGGTTTCAAATTTTAATGCTTTTATGTTTTATAGTTCTACACTTTCAGACTTTAATAATTTCAAGCTTTCATATTTTAAGGCTTTCACCAAGATATTTATAAAGAAATTGAGTTTTTGTCGCAAACTCTGATTTTCTAATCAAACATCAAAACGGCTGAATCGATTGGGCCCAAATGCCCCAAATAATGTCTGTGGCTATAACACAATTTAGTTCATTTGAAATGGAGTACAATGAAAAATTGCGACTTGATAATAATCAGTTAAAATAAGTGGAACGCGAAGCGCCCTGTAAACCTAATATTTTTATATTTTCATAATTTCATGATTTAATATTTTCTAAAAATAGCATCAATACGCCATAATTCAGAATTAAACAAAAACTTTCTTCTCGTAATTTTCCTGTTATTTCTGTTTAAATATTTTAAATAGGATTTAAAGTAGAATTGACTGTAAAACGTTTAGTTTGAAAACAGGCCCAACATGTATGCAGTATGTAAGCTATATCTCCCAAACATGTATGCAGTATGTAAGCTATATCTCCCAAACATGTATGCAGTATGTAAGCCTTATCTCCCAAAGTAAATTAGAAACCTCGCTTGTAACACAGCTAGATATTTCCTGAGATAAAATTTCAATTTCACACTTTTTCTTTATTTCCCTTTTTGTTGTAAATTTTCTTGTTTACCTTCTTAATTATACGTTTTTACGGTTGACGACATATTTAAGTAAATCTAACGTTTTTGAAATAATTCTGACTACTCCTTCTATTGGAGCGCTGATTAATAGCACGAAATGGTTGCAATAATTTTTATAGAAATTTCCACGTCATTTTGGGAATCCATGTATCTGATACTTATATACGTAATAAAATAAAAAGAAAAAACTAATAAAAAAGAATAAAATGGCTCCAGGTTCTGTGACTTCTTCACAAATACTATTTAAAGATACAGAATGAAAATGAAAATTAATGTAATTAAAGTTAGTTTATATTGTACTAAGAGAAATGGCAACTTGTAAAGTTAAAACTGTAGAAAAGGAGGCGCGAAGCTTCCTAAAAAGCCAAATACGAATAAATATAAAAATATTTACCGTTGAGGTGCAGGAGATTTTGTAACTTCCTTCTTGTTTGCGTCCTCCCCCCTTCCCTCCTGAACTGTTTCAACAGCTTTAGGACTGTTTGAGAACTCCTAAATCAAACAATTAGTCAAAACTTTGTACAAAACATTCCCAGCAACCTAAACTAAATTAGCCGAACTAAAAGTTTTCTTTTAAGATAACACCAATAGGGGTTCACAACCAGAATACAAGAAATACAAATATTGGCAACAATAATAATTATAGGGAAAGGTTTCTTCCAACGTTTATCTGAGTAACACTGATGAAAATGTCATTGCTTTTCTTAAAAAGTGTTAAATTCTGACATTTTCCTTTAATATTTCTGCATCATAAATCCGGAAGTCAGTGTTATTGAGAAAACAAAGTCTTGTTCATTCTAAAGCTTCCGTAGAGGAAATCAAATTCTGCAATTACCACTATCAGTAAATCTCAACATCTAAAGAGACACATACAGATTTCTTTTAATATGATTAAATGAGGATAAATAGGCCTTTATATATGTGTGTTTTAATATAATTATAAACGAGGTTTATTTAACTTCATCTCAGGATTCCTCTTTCACTGCATTGTGTCCTTGTAGTGATGTGAAGGCATAGGGACGGTTGTACTATTTAGTAAAGAGGAGTAGTTAAATGATCTGTTATGGTAAAAAAACAGTGTTAACAAAAAAGAGGAGTAAAGGATCAGTAAGAAGAGGAGTAAAGGATCAGTAAGAAGAGGAGTAAAGGATCAGTAAGAAGAGGAGTAAAGGATCAGTAAGAAGTTTATGTTTATCTTGAAAGCAAACCCTGTGTAAATAATCGAACTAGGGATGAATTATATTTTTATGTTCAATGCATAATGCAATTGCATAATCCACGAATAAATGTACATAAAAAATGGTGGCTTGACGAACAATATTTAAAAACTAGAATTGTTATTAGAATAAGGGGTTCGAACCACACAAATGCAGAAATCTAATACAAAAACAAAATCAGGTTTTCCTTCTAACAGTATTTTACAGTTACTTTAATTTGAGTAAATTGGTAGAACTGTTTTCTGAATTCTAATTCTTCTACAATAACTATTGCCCTAGTTTTCTAAAGTATGTGTTAGATCCCCAGAAAATATACTTCCATAGCTCTCTATTTCATATTTCCAGTCCATTATGTAATTGTAATGTTGTATGTATCTTGTATATACATTGTACTGTATAAGCTCACTGATGGGCTTTCAAGGTTTTTTTTTAGTTTTTTTGTGCTCTAAAATATTCTTTTAATAAACATGATGTTTAACAAATAGTAAAATCTTGTTTCTATAACTTTGTTTTTATTGAATTATGTTAAATATTTTAATTTACTACACTGATATTTCAAAACGTTTTTAACAATCGTTTCGGTTAATATCTTCGGTCAGAGAAAACATTTTGCGTAATATGTTATAAAAGCAAACTTATGAAACAAAACATTTTGAAATAGATTCTTTTGAAGCATTCTAAAAATAAAAAACTTTATGTTTAAAAACGATGTTCTTCAGTAATTGAATTGATTTCTCAAAAAGCTGAAAAAAGTGAAGAAAATTTTAATTTTTACTAAAAATAATTTTTTCCAGAAAGGATTTTGTTTTTACCAACAATGTTTGAATATTCCCAAGAAAAGTTTTATTTTTTAATTAAAAAGACCGTTGAAATAATTTCAAGTGAACCCCAATCAAAAGTGCTTCATTTCCTATTAACAATGGTACCCTTTGGCCCTTTATTAGATAAAAAATAAGGATAAGATCTTTTTCATTTCTTGAGATTTGTTTTTCTCTAAATGCTTAACTCCACAGGTTAAAGGAACTGAGTTTTTGCCACAAACTCAGAAGGTGTAACCCTTCGATGTTTCAAACTTAGATTATTTTATCTAACGTAATTCATAGTTTGAAATATCAAAGGACATACGACATTGGATTAAAGCATATAGGGATTAGAAAATCAGAGTTTGTGGCAAAGACTCAACTCCTTTACTAAGAACCACAATCGACAATTTTTATATTAAAAACATTGATAACACTTTAAATTGGAGGCTCACTTTAAATTGGAGGCTCACTTTGAATTGGAGGCTCACTTTAAATTGGAGGCTCACTTTAAATTGGAGGCTCACTTTAAATTGGAGGCTCACTATAAATTGGAGGCTCACTTTAAATTGGAGGCTCACTTTAAATTACGTCTTTAGTCCTTTGGATTCAATTTCAATTCAAGCTTTTACTGATATTTAAAAGGATTCCGTTAGCAATGCATAAACGATTTAAAATGAAATAATTATTCTTCTTAAACCTTTTTAACCTTAAATCTTTGTAAACTGAAGTTAAAATATTTCAAACTATTTATATTTTCTCTATGATTAAATAGTAATTATTAAATTGGTTTAAAAGTTGTAAAGATATAGAGATTAGAAAATCAGGCTTTTCATCATTTATTGAAACAATATACCTTACCAATGTTGAATTTTAAATGTAAATCACTTCGGGGAAAATTCAAACCGTCATTAATAATAATTAACTATTAAATAAATGAGTATGATACAGTATAATACGTATTTATTCAGTAGAATTTTAATTCAATAAAACTCAAATAAAAAATCCTCTCCAGCAAAAAAGAATCCCATTAATGAAAGCTAGCATATTTTTGTGAACCAGAAAAAAGACTCATTTGAAATAAGATTATTAAAATTGAACCCATTTTCGACTTTCCTCAACAATTCTAAAAATCATTCCTTATAATGTAGAAATCTGAAAATTCTGAAAATGTTCATTGAATGAAACAAATACTATTGGAAATCCAAAAAAACAAATGCCGCAATGATCAAAGACGATCTGCTTTGTCCTATACCTGCACAGTAAGCTGTCCTGTACCATCCTTGTCTGCGGCCATCACAACCTCTCTGGTCACGATCATTCATTGAAAACTTGTCCGTCGGAGGTTTAGAGAAAGAATTTCCAAAAGAATTGAATTTTTGCCACAAATACTGATTTTCTTATCTAAATATCGTTGCAACCCAGTGTCGTAGACCTTTGATATACAAAATATGAGCACTGTTTGATTAAATAAGTAAGTTTGAAATATCAAACTTTTACATCATCAGATTGCAAAGATATAGGGATTTCAAAACTTAAATTTGTGGCAAAGACTAAATTTCTTTCCTAAAACCTGGCGCAAACAAGAACAATCAGTCTTTTAATTAAAAATAAATTTCACTTGAAAAGTTTCACAAAAATTAGATCTAGAAAGGTTGGAACTCTTGGCAGAGAGAGGGTAGGGTTCCTTTTAATAAGTCTGGTGGCTAATAATTAGCATTTAAAATAAAAGATATGATTCCTGGCTGAAAAGATCTGCGCAGGCTGGTCAAGCGAGAAACAAAGCTATAATTGGAAACTATTTAAGTATTTAATTGCAACTGAAACAATAAAGTTTATCACATCTGAAGTCCAAATATATAGCAACCAAGAATTCTTTAACGCTAATTTTAAACCCAAGCTGAATCTCAATTTGTTTAGAATTAGGATCAAAACTATTCCATAGCAAAGGAAAGCTGAAAAAAGGAAACTTTTTAAAGAAATCATTACGCACCCTTGGTAGAAAAATATCATCAGCATTTATAAGCGTTAATCCGTTAAGGCTGAATTCTTTAGAAAAAAAAACATTGTAGTTAACAGTTGAATATTTCTGATCTATAGAATCCGTAATTAATAATTGCTGTTGAATTATCAGGTGAGGTAGGTCAGGAAGAGGCAGAATATCTAATGAGGACAATAAAGGTTGAGAGTGAGAATTATGCGAAGCTTTAGAAATTATGCAGACGTATTTTTCTGAAACAAGTTAATGTTTGATTTACTAGAGCAGTTATGAATAGGCAGGCAGTAGAGAATATGAGGATGGATTAGCGCAAAGTACAAAGTACTGGTAAGAATATTTATAGCTCTTTTTAAATTAAAAAATAGATTTAGAAACCTTGATACGAGTTTGTTTGATGTGATAATCAAAACTTAGATTCTCATCAAAATAAATACCGAGCATTTTAAAAGCTGGTACTTTGGACATCTTTGAAATACGTTCAATAGGAAAAATTCTGGTTAAATCAGGACTTGAGTTGATGTCCTCATTATTATAATAAAAATAAAAATCAGAAACGAAGGTTTGCTTCGAATGAAAAACCCTGACTCTAGTTTTAGAAGTATTAACACAAATCTTATTGGCTCTTAACCACATACATAATTTGTGTAGCTCAGTGTTACCAAAATTTCAAACCTCAACAGCATTTGAACCTTTAGCTAATCCTGTAGAGTCGAAAGCAAAATTAAGAATTAGATAACAAGTTGGATTTGTACATATCATTAATATAGATGATAGAGAGGAGAGGACCTAGAATCAAACCCTGTGGGACGGATACATTAAACTCTGTTAGAAGATCACAATGAACATTATTCACCATGACGAATTGCTTACGATTACTCAAGTAACTTTTAAACCATTTTACATTGACATTTTTTACACCTATCATGGTTAACAACATGAAAGGCTTTCCTAAAATCAAGAAATTTCGCAATTTTATTGTCATTAAGAGCAGCAGTAATATAATTTAAAATATTTAGAATTGGTTGAAACGTACCGGGTTGAAATCCAAAATGAATTCTGTATAAGAGTTTATTATTTGCCAAGAAACTGTTTAAACACGTTTAAAGACAATCTTTTCAATTATCTTTGACAACACGGGGAGGCATGATATAGGCCTATAGTTAGTTAATTCCTCGGGATTTCCAGATTTAAAAAAGTTCTTGATACTTTAAAACTCTCAGAGACCTGGCCTTGATCAAAAGATAAATTGAAAATGAATGAAAGAGGTTCAGCAATTTCAGTTATCACGTTTTTCAAAAAGTTAGAGTTTAGATCATCAATCAATCCAGACTTGATTTACTTCTTAATGACTTGACAATTTCAATAATTTCAGAGGGGTCAACCTGTCCAAGCTCAAAATTAAATCCAGAATCAGTAAGATATAATCTTCAGGTTTAGTAGTTGATTCAGGAATATCCTTTAAGATATTCTCAGCAATTTCTGAGAAAAAAAAAGAATTAAATTCATTTGCCATGTTTTAAGCGTCATCAATTGAACAATACTGGATTTTTAAGTTCATTTTTGTTTGACTCAAGTTTACCTTCAAAATACATTTCCTCCGCAGATTTCAACACTTTATTGTACTGAGCTGGGAACTTTAGAATGGTGGATATCAAGATTAATGTTTAATCCTCTGTTTTTGCTAATCTCGAGACTAACATAATCTCGAGATTATATTAGTCTCGAGATTAAATATCTAGATCAACATATTGGATTCTAAGAACGCCAGATTGGTTCGTTTTCTTGACTGGAAGGGCCTTTAATACATTAATTAAAATGCAATATACAAAATGGCCAAAAACAAGTTCTTGATTTGTTAGAAATTGCGGATTTCTCTCATGGGATAGAATTTATTATTAAGGCTGTCATTGGTCAATGCAATTTACGAACTATATTCCTGCACTCGCATTGGAGAAAATAATGTACGGATATCCAAAGAGAGAAAAAAAGAGTGGATTAAGGACTAAAATTAAAAGTTTCCACAGTGAATATTTGGATTAAGTAGTTGGGATTAAAGGTTATCCATTCTAAAGTTCCCAGCTCAGGTTTTGTATATTTAGACTCATCTTCGTAATTTCTAGATATTAGAAATTTATGAAAAAGCTCAAGCTTCATTTTCCTGGATAAAGTAATCCAATGCTCATTAAATCATTTAATTTGTGATATTTGACAGGAAAATGAAGATTAAAGAGCGTCGACTAATCCTCCACAGAAGTTTTAAAAAGCAGTGCACAGTATCAGAGCATGAGTAAACATTCTCCCAGGATGGATTAGATAAATTACTCTTAGAAGATTCAATCGCAGCATCGCCCTTTTTAATGGTGCATTTTCTTATTTTTAATTTCTTGAAGTCAAGACAAGTAAATGTAAGAAGATGATCTGATAAATCATTAAGGATAACTCATGACTTATAGTTAGAACATTTTTTGTTAGTAACAATATGACCTATAAGAGTAGATGAATTGGATGCAAGTCTAATTGCTTTAGTAATTAGGTTGATAAAACCATAGGATAAGAGAAGCTTAAATTAGAGTTTGCAATTATTAGAGTCTAAGTTAGAGTCCGCCATAATATAACAATCTTTCTCTGATAAAGAACTTTAAAAGGCCTAAGAAAGATTCAAGGAATGATTTACTTAGCTCAGAATTAGATGAAAAAGGATGATTCGTGGGTGGTCTATACAGAGATACAAATAATAATTTGCCAGTAGGAAAATCAACTTCAGTACTGAGGGATTCAATAATACGCGCATGAAATGAAGAAAAATCTTGTAAAGTTCAGGTTATTACTAATGTAAAACCCGACGCCACCCCCCTTGCAGGAGGTTCTAGATTTAAATACAAGAGAATGGTAACCAGGAATATTAACAAGAGAAGCATCATTAATGCAGGTAGTTTCCTGCACAGAGATTATATCAAAAATTATCCCCTTTTCAGGAACTTTTCGAATTCACTCAATAAGTATTAAATACTTAAATTCAAAATAAGTGGTGATTTAAAGTCAATAAGGGGAAGTTTCATTGTAATAATTGCTTGACAACTTATTCGACAGTAGAGGATTTTCCATAAAATTGAAATTATAAACACTATTTTCTAAAACTAGAGAATAATTATCCTCGTTTAACAGCCCGCTAGATGCAATCAGATCAGGAACCATGGCTTGCATATAATCTGTGAAGCCAAACCAGACCTCTCTCAAGAACACTACACCCCTCCACTGTTCCAGTGCTCCGGTGTCCAGTGCTCCGGTGTCCAGTGCTCCAGTGTCCAGTCCTCCTGTGTCCAGTGCTCCGGTTCCCAGTGCTCCAGTGCCCAGTGCTCCAGTGTCCAGTGCTCCGGTGTCCAGTTAAACAGGTATTAAAAGGACTATGCAGAAACATATACACATTTTATAGGTATCGAAAAGAGGCTCTATGCAGAAACTGATACACGTAGGTATTTAAGGGACTTTCTGCGTAAAACCTTAAAACCTTTATATATTGTGAAGTGTTTATTGCAATTTCTAAGAGAAACAGTCACTCAAACCTAAGCTGGCATTTCCTTCAAGTCTGGACATAAGGGGGTGTTAATTAACCCTACACTATTATTTTTATCGGAGCGAAGGCTATTTTTCAAGACCATTCTTTAATGAAAGACGTTATTTTTGGGATGAAAGGAGGAGAATTTGTTTTTAAGTTTTTTAAAGTTCAATTATATCAAGAAATCATAACAAATATACAGTAACGGAACGTGGTTCTGAATTAATGCTAATTTCTCATTTTTTTCAGCATCAAGTTCTCCCATGGGGACGAGATGGTGAGACTGGAGAGGGAGCATGCATGGGGAAAAGGTTTTGCTCCTCCTGGAAGCTATAAATAAACCTGAAGTTTCTCATCCTACCCCTGCTCTAAGTAAAGATACTTAAACTAGCTCTAGAACTGACATGAAACGATCCAAAAGCAAACCTGTAGCACACGAGAACTCATGGAGGATTGATCCGGATAAACTATTAAAGGGAAACTGTACAAAACAAAATTTTTTTCCTAAAGATCATTTTTCTTTTGTTTTATAAATGTCGTTAAGTCATTTTGTGCGGAAACTACGGATTTGTGGAGTAAAAATTTTAAAGTTTTAAACAATTTGGTCTGATAAAAATATTTAAACACATTTTCCCAAACCTTTCCATGAAAAACAAATTTCGGTATAGTTTGAAAATGTGTTTTCGCTCCAGTCTTTTCACAAATATTTCTTTCTGAAAGCTGGATATTGTATGAGCACTAAGCAGTAAGCATAGTATGTAAATAGACTGGAAACATTAATATACAAAATAGGCATGTTTCACCACTATATTCATATTCATATATGTTATAGGATCTGCAGTGAAACTACTGTAGTTATATATAAATGCTTATGCTTTCACAAAGATCGAATATAATTCGAAAATCTCAAATCGTTAACCCTACAAAAAAATTTGGCGGGGTTAGAATTGATTTGCAACAAGTAGGGTTTCCAAATTCCAACGCAAGTGGATTTTACTTGCGCGCAATTGCGAGCCCTGTTAACTCCTCACAATTGCGCGTAAAGGAATTGCGATTGGAAACCCGAGCAAAAAGTAAGACCCCGCACAAGTATCCTGGGATGAGATTGAATGAATAGCGAGAAGCATGAAATCGTTCAAAACTTTACATAACATGAGCTTCATCAAAACATCTGAGGAAAATGTTACTTATTCTATGTTACTTTTGGGTGACAAATGTAACATTTTAAATCATTGTTACATCTCTCTATATAGGTGTTGCGGTTTGGCCAAAATGCACACATATTTCTATTAATATACAGGGAGAAACAGAAAACTCTGGAATTGGAGGACGACTTTCAGTCTCAAGTTTTGACTTTAAATAGTCCAACGAACACGAGACACAGAAACTGTGCAGTGTAAACAGACCCATTTTGCTTCATAAGTGAATTAATACGTTACCAGGGGTCCATATAATTCCTTTTTCAATCCCATTTGGGATTGACAAATTTGAAAGAAATGGGGGCAAATTTTTTTGGGGGCATTTTTATTTAATTGGGGGCATTTTTTTTAAATTGGGGACAAATGTGTCAGTGGAATTTGAAAATGTTTTTAATTGGGGTCATTTTTTTAATTGGGGGCATTTTTTTTTAAAGTTGGGGGCAAAAAATTATTTTGGGATCGAGAAAATCAGCTATTTTGGGAATTATATGGACCCCTGTACGTTACTGGTAAAGCTAAAAATACGCTAAATTATTGTTTTACAGTCGTCGTCCTTTTCCACAGTTCTCTGGTTCCCACTGAAAATTCCGTAGCTCTGTGTTAAATATCTATATAAGATTATATGTATGGGATGGAGGGGGGAAGTATTCAGCATCCGGTATTTGTCTCCAAGAACCCAGAAGAATACAAATAAGGCAACAGAACTATTTAGAAGAATACACTATATCTATTAAAACAATCGCCATGTTTGTATCAAAGGGTAATTTCACACTTTTCTGGATAAATAAAAAAAATTTAACTAAAAGTTAATGAAAAGCAAAAAAAAGATTAATTTTAGGATACATAATTGGATTTACGATTAAAATGTATAATTCACTCTCAGAAAAATTAGAACCAATGGAGACGAATTGAGTCTTTGCAACAAGCTTAAATTTTCTAATCCCTACAACTATGCAACCCAATGTCGTAGTAGACCTTTGATATTTCAAACTATGAATTCTGTTAAATCAAATAATCTATAGTTTGAAACCCAGAGATTCAATGGTTTATCATCCAATACCAAATTCCATTGATTAAAATTTTTCTGAGAGTAAATGTCATGCATTTTTAAAGAGCTGGCTTTAACATGGACCTGCATAAATAAGTTTCCAGATTAGCGGGATTTAATAAAATTGTTGACTGCCAAAGAAAGTTTTTTTTTTAAGGAATAAAGAATGAATTAAATAATTTCCGGATGAAATAGTAGATTTCTGATCAAAAAGGATGTAAAAGAATGAATGAATGAATAGATGAATTAATAATTAAATGAATAATTTCCTGATTTCTTCTATTGAGACTGGCACCTCATGATCCTAAAAATACAACTTTTAGAAATGTTTTAAAAAGCGAAAGAACAAAAATTTTAAAATTATTATTTTTCTATTTCAAATTCTACAATTTTGATTCAAAGCCTACAAATACTTTAACTCCAAAAACCAATACATATTTTGGAAATAAGGAACTTTTACAGAATAGTTTAACTGGTCGTACCTGGTTTGACTACTTTAACTACTTAATTAATCATATATTATACACCCCCCCCCCTTCCAGCTGTTAAATTTTGTATTTAATTGTATTTTTATTATAATACCACTATTGGGTAATAATTTTTATTGAAAAACCTTTGTTTATTTATTAGGTAATATATGGACTATTGTGCAGGCAGGCAGTGTATATACATTTTTGTACACATGAAATTATTATTTCATAAAATTATATATTTTATAATTTTAAGTTATAGCGTGCTGGGCCTTTGTTTGCACTGTCGCTATTAATAATTTGAACAGTAGCTCTGTAGAGAATAAATAAATAAATGAAATAATATTTGGAAAAGTTTTCAACCAAAGTTTAAAACTTTGTGAATATTTGCACGTTTCACACTCTGTAAATATTCTGCAGTTTAGAATAACAATTTTACTATTCCTTTTAAATAAGAATAAGAATAAGAATTAGAATAAGAATAAGAATAAGAATAAGAATAAGAATAAGAATAAGAATAAGAATAAGAA